TGAGAAACACATGATGGCACCAGAAGACCTATCCTAATATGTGCGCCCAGACATCAATGCCTACCGATGGCCTGCGTGCTATACTGGAAGTGCATAAGGTCATACTAGATTGGCTGTTAGCAATGCTCATTTGGAAATGGGAGAGGATTATTTGGGAATAGCCCTAACGTTCCCAGATGTCCTAACCCATCACTGGGATATCTACGCACCAGAGATTCTTTGCTTGAGCAACCACCGAGGGAAACTACTTTGGCGCCGATTCTGGAAGTTACCAGCTCCGCGTTTATGGTACCAACCCCTCGCATGGTTCTGAACACAAGGGATACGCTGAGCAGCACTTCGCATGCGCTGTTGTACTCAAGGCATTGTGACTAGCAGAACGCGTGGTGGATAGGGTTACTACTAGTGATTCTTCTCTCCATTCCGTAGCACTACGATGCCAAGAGGGTACGATTCGCGGCAACACTAAGGCATGGACCAGCATTCGACAGAAGTTGCATGTAACGGATACAACACTGCTACATAAGCAGTACTATGACACGACTGCCATACCACCAACACTTCGTGATCTTCACACGTAGACCAGATGCAGGTAACATCATGCACAGATCGACAACATAGCCATTCATCTGCACGTTACAGCACACTGTTCCAACCACTCAAACCTCCAACTACGACTTGGACCTGCCCACATATCACTGACAACGATACACACCATCCTTCCTTGCTGTGGACGGAGCTTGCTCACTCTGTAGCAACAGCGAGTTCTTGCTACAGTTTAACTGGCTTATGATTTCGTCGCCATCGTCCACCATCTCAGAGATCGGCCACACAAGCGCCTTTTAAACATCCAACAACAACAAAAGCACTTGGCCGCTCATCACTACAGTCATCCACACCATAATCACGACATCAACCATACTCCATCCAAGCTTTAACTTGCTTCTGCGGGTCTATCCTTGTTGAAGCATAGGTCACCTTCCGCTTTCGCCTACCAGCCACTTGAAAGATCCATAACGCCTTCCATACCAGCTTCTTAAACCCTATCAAGACCAAACACGCTCTACACCGAATGCCAACCACCGTCGCCACCCGTGTTAGTCCACGCCATGGGACAGCTACGTGCTCGGACACCGTTGTCGTCAGAATGGCACCCTGGAGCTTCTTCTTTGATGGAAGAGTTTTGATACTTCTGAGGCTGTGTATCTGAATTTGACATAGGTAACGCTCGTCGTCCTCTTCGCGACAACCTTGTCAAGCAGGGTGTTACTTCTACCACCCTGCTTTGAGGGTGGGAAGTGTGAGAGTACGACACCGTTACACCAATTTCCCCTTTCCATATTTCCTTTCTATTTCATTCCTCTATCACTCTTGATTCATTTCGTCTTTATCTCATCTCATTTGGTTTCCTATTCCTCCCTTTCCATTATCATTTGGTTTATCCTGTTATTATGATTATATCACCGACCAGGCTCGGGATGTACTGGCGCGTTATATCTAGCGTAATCATGTTGTAATCCCTTAAAGCCAATAGCCTCGGGTGGCTATACGCATGGTGATTCTATTTCTAGAAGGGTCTATTCCCTTTGGATAGGATAAACCTGGTTACCTGATGTACAATGGAAGTATTAAAGCACCTTGTACCGATTGATAGTGGAACATTGAGAAAACTTGATTCGATCCTGTGACAGCGACGGTAGCGACGACGGCTGCTGCGGTGGCAGCGACAGTGACAGGTACTACGGCGGCGGAGGAGGAGACACCGGGGTGGAGACAGGCGGCAAAACTGGAGCCGCAGAGACTCCAGAGTCTGCCGAATCCTCTACCGGGACAACTGACGGGAGGGGAGTGACGTGAGACACACCAGATAGGGCAGGACAGGGAGGGAGAGGAGCAGGGGCTACCGGGGAGTGGGAACCAAAAACAGAGGCACGGTAAGTGGGAGTCCTCGGTGGGGAAATCGGGTGTAGAAGGAGACAAACTCATCAAAAGTGAGCGGCGTAGCGAACAACGAACAGCCACAGAAAATGGGGTGCCCCGGCTTGGATGATGGAGGTACGAGCCACCTCCATGACCAAACCGATGCGTTGCTAAGCGACCCCATTTTGCTACGGGGAGTCCGGCAGGGTGTACGACTGGATGATGTGCTCCGCACGACAAAACTGGCCAAGCTGGCCGGAGGAGAACTCGCCGCCACAGTCAGACTGAAGACAGGGAGGCCGCGGTGGACGCGCGCAGCTACGACCCACGTGATAAGAACGTTAGGCATGTCGGCCTTCCGTTGCGAGGAAAACACCATGGTGTTTTGCGCGTAGTCGTCGACAAGCATTAGAAACTAGCGCTCTCGACGCGGCCCTGGGTCGAGGGCTGGGAACCAGACGTCCAGGGTCTGAAGTGGTGAAGTGGTAGGGGGAAGCGAGGCGGAATGAGGAGCACAATACAGCCGGCCCTCCACGCAGGGCGTGCACGGTGGTGCATGCGAGGGAGAGAGAGCAGGGAGCGACGCAGAGAGACCTAAGAGAAGACTGTGCTGGGACATGAAACGCAGACGTGGGATTGCGGGGTGACCTAAGTGGTGGTGCCACAACAGCTAAGGGTGGATGAGCGACCGACACGAGCAAGTAGCGAGCTGGATAGACGCAGGCACCTAGGGGGACGCCCTCACCGAGGGGGACGAAGTGTCTAGCGTGAACAGGCCAGACACCGGGTCCCCGGGAAACGTGGTGAGGGGGGCACCTGTGAGTGCCTCGGTACAGACAGCGTACCGCTCGTGACTAGGAAACGTAGTGGTGACGAGGGGATGCGCAAGGCTGTAAGGGAGCACGAGGGAACCGCCGGACAGGGAAGGGTAGGGGAGCTATGTGCAACTAGCAGACCTGAGGAGGGGTCAGCAAGCACGACAGCGGCAGGGGCGGCAAGCGGTGTAAGTGCAGTGTGGTTGCAGAACAAGCAGGCAGATGCACCAGAGTCTAGCGAAGGAGAGAGCAGCGGTAGTGTCAGCTTGTGGAGGAGCTAGCGTAGAGCCAAGGCTGAACAAGGTAGGAGGTCCTACGCCTGATGCAGCATCGGAGCCGCCGGGCACCCCGGCGGGAGGCGACCCCAGCTGCTGCTGCAGCACACGAGGCCGCCAGCGCGGCCACCACCACCGGAGCCGCTGGCCACCCCGACGGGAGGCGACCCCAGTGCTGCTGTTGCCGCTGCGCTACTGCTGCTGCTGCGGATGCTGCTGCTGCTGCAGCTCCGGGGGATCAACCCAAATCCCCTCGCCGGTACCGCCGGCACTCGCACCACCTCCACCACCATCGCCACCCCCACCATCCCTCCCTTTGCAATGCCCCCGTTGGGCAGCGACCCTTACCCTGATGAGGCTATGCTGAGGCCGACGCGTCGACGGTCTCAGCAGCAGGGGCTGTCTCAGCGACAGCGGCAGAAATGTCAAAGTAAGTGCACTGGGAGGTAGCATAAGCCTGGAAGATAGGACCGCCGCAGTACCGCTAGATGAGCGATAGTGCGCTGGTGGGTCTCTATCGCAGACAGATGGTGCAAAGGCAGTAAGGGTGAGGTCACCTGGGTGCTGACTAAGGGAGTGGTCGTGGCAGTGCGAGGCGGTCAGGAAGGCACGTGGCAATGGGGTAAAGGGTAACACAAGGGAGGAGGAATGCATCGAGCTGGCCTCATGGTAACAGCACGGTAGCTATTCTAAGGGCGCATAGATGAGTGGCAAGATCAGCGATAGTGGGGAAGAACGCAAAATCAGGGAATAGCATGGGGAGATCAGATGGCCGGCAGAGGCGGAGGAGGGAGTGAATAGCACACAATGACCGCATCTTAGTATTTCTTCATATTTGCTACAATCGTAAAGCAGGACGCTCAGACAGGGGGAGGGCGTGACTGATAGCAAGCTACGCTATGGCGTCGCGCGACTCCAGACAGTGCGTGCGAGCTCAGCAGTGGCAAAGGCCTCACGCTCAGCAGACGTGGGGGCTTCAGAGAGGCAACAAGCGCGTCGGGGCAGGTGAGATTACCGTCGACATGGACGGCCAGAGAATAGTTGTCCTGGCGCTCACCCGTCAGCTGATGGCGAAGGTCGACGAGCCACGCCTCAAAATCAACCGCCCGACCCTCCGCGTCAAGGCGGAGCACAGCGTCCGCCATCACCAGGGCTACGGCAGCACGGCGACACAGTGGCACGCGACACGACGATATGGCGGCACGGCGGCACAGCGACACAGCGGCACGGCGGCATAGCGGCACGGCGGCACAGTGGCATGACGGCACGGCGACCTGGGACGGCACGGCTCGCAAGCAGAGTGGGGGCGCGGCGGTGGCGCACAGGGCGTAGGAGCTGGGCCGCGGTAGCTGGGGCTGGCGCAAACTGGGGCCGGTTCAAACGGGCGGGCAGGAGCTGGGGCCGGCGCGAACTGGGGCCGGCTAGCCAGCGCGGGCCGACGAGCGAGCACCGGCGAGCTGGGGCCAGCGAGCGGGGCCGGCGAGCTAGGCCAGCGAGCGAGCTAGGGCCGGCGAGCAAGCTAGGGCTGGCGAGCTAGGGCCTGCGAGCGAGCTAGGGCCGGCGAGTGGGGGCCAGCGCGCAGCGAGCGAAGGCCAGCGGCGAGCTAGGAGCCAGCCGCGAGCGCCGGGCCAGTGGGCGAGCCGAGGGGCCAGTGGGGAGCGTGGGCCAGCGGCAAGCATGGGGCCACGGCGGGCAGCTAGCGACGGGGCCCAACAGTGGGCGGCTAGCGACGGCAGCTAGCGACCGCAGCTAGTGACGGCCGGCGAGCTAGGGCCAGCTGGTGAGCGCGGGGCCAGCGGGGCCAGCGGAGACAGCAGGCGAAAGGCCGGTGTGAGCTAGGGCCGCGAGCACAGGGCGAGCGGCGAGGGACCAGCGGGGAGCTAGGGGAGCTAGGGCGGGCTAGGGCGGGCTAGGGCACCTAAGGCGGTCTAGAGCGGAAGTGCGGGTGAGTAGACCTAACTTAGCTGATACCATCTCAGAATAACGCAATGACTAGAATGAAGCATACAGGCAGGTTTTGTGCTATGGTGCTGTACTCTCTATAAGCATGCACCTATCTAGCCTATTACAATATATAAATGTGTTGACATCAAATGCCAGAAGCTGCTGAATACCTGAGTACCCCATATGACACAACACACATACAGTACGTGGCGCTGCATTCTTTAGCCGCCCATCATAGGTTGGTCTGCTGCATGCATTGGAGCCGAGAACATGTGTTTTGCATCTCAACTTTCATTGTACCAGCAAAGGACTAGGCACACACTGAAGCATCACTCCTCATCGCTGTCACTGTGTTTGTGACCCAGCACAGGACTTGAATGAAGCTCCCCTTTCTCAAGAGCTTCAATACTTTCTCAACTGAGCACCAGCTTGTTGTTGCTGCGTGATGCTGGTGCTCTGCTTTGAGCCAAAGCTGGCAGCATGTTTCAATATGTTGCCTTTCCTTAACCCAGCAGCACCCCGCGGAAGTGAACCTCAAACCAATACCGGTCGCACTGTTGATGGCAGTGCTGCAACGCAGTGTGCGCCTATCAAAGCAGCGGTGCGCAGTGTGTTCCCATCAAAAGAGAATGCCTCTTTGCTGGATCCTTGGGCTTTATCCCTCTCCCCTGCTCCCCCTTCCCTCCCCCCACCAGACCCCCCCTCCACCACCCCTGCCAGTGCTGCCAGGCGGAAAATATTGGAGGGACAGAGTGGGTGTGGAGGTTGAATGTGTTTTAAATCAAGAAATTCAGGTCCGGAAAAAAAACACATGAAATTAAGGCATATAACATACAACCTGTACTCCATGTACAAGCATCCATGGACACCAGACAAGGCACTCATGAGTGCTACAGAGAGAGCACACCCCGGCCCATGATTCAAGCACACAGGATTCCATCCTACCTGTACTCCGTGTACATGTGGCCGTGAGCACCAGGGGTTCCGCTCATCAATGCTGCCGTCCCCTTCACAAACAAACCCATACCTATTTGAAGCACACATCCTTGCACCATACCTGCACTCAAAAGCACATCCTCCACTGAGCCCCAGAGATGGCACTCATCGATGCTGCCGTCCCGCCTCACAAACAACACCATACCTAGAATATGAGCACACATCATGGCACCATACCTAGAATATGAGCACACATCATGGCACCATACCTAGAATATGAGCACACATCATGGCACCATACCTAGAATATGAGCACACATCATGGCACCATACCTGTACTCCAAGAACATCCTCCTTGGGCGCCCGACATGGCGCTCATTGATACTGCCGTCTGCCTCACGATGGTCCACATATGGCTCAGATCGTCATAGTCCTCTGCTACGACCTCCTCCCTCAGAGCCTCGTCGCCTGCACTCAGCACCTGGAGGAGAAGCGAGAGGGAACAGCACACAAGGAACAATACAGGAGGAACAATACAGGAGGAATGCTCAGCCCGCCTCACGATGGCGGTCACGTGCTAGGACCTCCTCTCTTAGGCTTCCCATCGCCTACACTCAGTGCCAGAAGAGAGAGAAAGCAAGAGGCGTGGCTTTGCTTGGACGTGTGGCATCTTGAAACGGAAAGCAACCTGGCTGTCATCACGCTTCCCTCCAGCAGGCGGCTGCAAATTAAACCCCTTGTAAACCGCTGGTCTCACAGCGCACTCAAGGTAGAAAGGTAGGCTCGCGGTGGAGAGTAGATGGAGCTGTTCCTGCTTGGACGTGTGGCAGCGGCCATACGGGCTAGAGGTGTGGAGACAATGCAGTCAGTCACAGCGCACTCAAGGCACGAGGGCGGGCTCACAGTGGAGAGCAGATCGAGCTGCTCCTGCGTGGACGTGTGGCAGAGGTTAATTCGGAACGTCAAGCCGCGAGGGGCACGGAAACAGAAATGCCTGTCTCACAGGACAGTGAAGACAGGGAGAGTGACTCACAGAGGACACAAGATCCACCTGCTCCTGCTTGGACGTGCAGCAGTGGTCGTCGCCATCGCCTGGCGGGGGCGGCGATGTGGCGACCTGGATGGATGTAGATGAGGGGGGGGGGAGGAGAAGGTGGTGGGAGGGAGGGACATGATGGCGCGATCGAAGCACGGACAATGGCTGGACGTGTAGCAGCGGTCGCCGCCCTCTCCTGGTGGGGGCAGCGATGTGACGAGTGTGGGACGAGGGAGGAGGAGAAGAGTGTGGGATGAGGGAGGAGGAGAAGAGTGTGGGATGAGGGAGGAGGAGAAGCGTGTGGGATGAGGGAGGAGGAGAAGCCTGGGGGAAGGAGCGCTTGACGAGAGAAGGGATGACGCACAAGCTGCAACCAGGATCGAGACGGTAAAGTCGAGGTTGGAAATACAAAAGCATCCACATGCACTGTGGAGCTTCAGAGGCGATCGGCCCGATTAACCACTCGCCTCTGAAATCGCCGAAACGCTTCGCTGCAGTCGCCAGAGGCCGTCCCAAGGCCAGACTGACCCCTTCCAGGAGCCCCGAGAATCCCCGCATCCCTAAGCGAGCTAACGGTGATTATTGTAACGCGTTCGACTGTGCGAAGGGCAAGTGAGATCTGCATGTTGGGTAACGCGCTGGGCCGTTATTCAAGTGGCTCGGATTGGGACCAAACGGTCGGATTCCGAATCGCTGACGATGCCTTTGTCGAGGCTGCGTACCTAGTATGCTTTAGGCGGTTCCTGCGGGCAAAGGCTTCACGATCACGCGGAATTGCTGCTGCGAGCGGTGTGCTAAGCCCTCATCTCCCCGAAGAACCGTGAGGTAGGGATGTACTGGCTAAGATGTAAATGTGTAGGCTGTCATGTCGCTTGCTGGACGAATCTCGCGTAGTCGTCTTGCTCGCCTCGTAACTGTCGCCACATGGTTGGCTGACCCACTAAATGTCTTGCAGAGTCGCGTCTGTTTTCTAGATTCTAGAGGCTTGTCAGGCCAATCCCCCATGGCTTAGGTGGGTGTTACGGCATAAGGAATATCGGGAGTGTGAATTCCTGGTTGGAAAAACGAGAAAACAGCAGGAATGAAGATGACCCCGCAGAAGCGAGGGCGTGTTTCGAAAATTACCAAATGTCAAATCCAGCAGCCTCAAGAAGATACACGTGCGCCTCAATTGGTTCTTGAAATATGCAGCCTTCTCGAGGTTAGATTGTAACCAGGTACACGCTACATTTTTCGGACATGCAACCCTCTCGCGGCGACGAAAATTCTGATCACGTGCGAGGATCTACTTGTGCGAGACATGCGCGAAGAAAAAAAGGTAGTTTATAATGTTTATAAATGGTCTATCTTTTAACGTGTTCAGTGTGCCAGTGGTCTAGTGGTAGAATAGCACCCTGCCATGAGTTCGGTGCAGACCCGGGTTCGATTCCCGGCTGGCACATCCCCTTTTTGGCGCTCGTCGTGCATTTTCGTACATGTTGTCACTTCCCTTCTTAAGGTGAAAATAACCCTTCGTCAACGAATTCTCGATTTGTTCCAAATTCGCACATTCAATTCACGTTTCGCCAAGCCGGTTCATTTTCGCCAGACCCAACCAAAGCCAACTCCTCGTTGTCGCCAATGCTTTTGGTTTCGATGCCTGTGTCATTTCGCCAGAGCACACCCCATTTCGCCAGAGCACACCCCATTTCGCCAGAGCACACCCCATTTCGCCAGAGCACACCCCATTTCGCCAGAGCACACCCCATTTCGCCAGAGCACATCCCATTTCGCCAGTGCACACCCCATTTCGCCAGAGCACACCCCATTTCGCCAGTGCACACCCCATTTCGCCAGAGCACACCCCATTTCGCCAGCCCTAATTCGCGATCCCCGCAGCCTGCCGCCCGCCCCGCCACCTCTTCACCCATCTCCTCCAGCCATATCCGTACGAGCAGTCGCGCGATCACAGCTTCATCCCCTCACACATCACCATCACCACCAGCAATACTGGCACGAGGCCCCCCGCATTCTCATAACTTCACCTTCCATCAGCGCGTAGTTTCCGTTCGCCACGTCATTTCCACCTGCCCGAACCAACCAAGTCTCTCGTATCGACAGCCATGTGCACGTTCTCACGGCTCGCTACATTGAGAGCAACTGACGGGTTCCTCGGCTCGAGAATGGTCTCTCTTGCTGCTGCTCTGTCCCGCCATCCCAGTCGCGCTGCAAGTGACGGATGGGAACTGATTCACAGGAAATGGTTGGTCCCACGGGATATTAGCAGAAGCGGCGAGACGAGCAAATATTGAGGCGGCCGGCGACTCAAGCCGTGACGGATGCGACCTGGCGATGAGGAGACGGTCCCTTGGGAAATTGCCCAGGACGGGAGGAGCGGGAGATTGGGTAGAGACGGCGGGGGGCACGGATGGAGGACTGCATGGAGGTTGCGCGGACGGGCGGACGGCCCATGGGAGATGGTCCGACGGAGATCAGTGCGAGCGGGATGAGCGCGCGGATGCTGGCGGATGGGGCGGATAGGGCGAATGGGGGACTGCTTGAAGGAGTGTCGGGCTGGAGGTGAGCATCGGGCTTTGGTGAGTGGGTTGAAGGCTGCGAGGCGACTGCAGCAGGTGATGCGGGAAGTTAAAGCAGCAGTGAAGGCGGGGGAGGGGGGACGGGGAAAAGAGGGGAGAAGGCGGAAGGCGGGTGGGAGATGGTAAGGGAGGAAAGGTGAGGCGGGGTCGTGACAAGGTGAGGCAGGGTCGTGACAAGGTGAGGCAGGGTCGTGACAAGGTGAGGCGGGGTCGTGACAAGGTGAGGTGGTGTGACAAGGAGGGGTGGATGGGGAGCGGACTTTGGCGGGAAGATGGAGAAAAGGCGATGGAGAACGATGGAGCTGGGCAGAACGATGTGCAAACGTGGGAAGCGGGGAGGCGTTGCAGCAAAAGTGGGGCTGTTCTGGGGCACTGAGCACAGGGGAACGGGGGGTGGGGTGGGGGGACAGCAGATGGGAGTTGGGGGGGCGGGGAGGAGGGAGGGGGGGGAGGGAGAGGGGGGGGAGGAAGAGAAGGCAAGGCTCCTAAAGGTGAAAGAGAGAGGTGAGGGGAGCAGGCAGAGCTGGGACACCGGTGCTCCCGGGGAGAAGAAAGGAATCAGCCATGCGACCTGCCGCATACATTCCTTGTTCGCCCTTCCCTTCCTCCTCCCCGCACCTTATTCTCCTTCTCAACCCCCCCTCTCCTCTGCCTTTTCCCCCACAGGGCGTTGTTTCTACTAATCTGCAAATCGTACCCGTTTTCCTCAGGGCACCCGTTTTCCTCAGGGCTACCCCCAAAGTGCAGCACCGGACCCTCGGTTCCACTTCTCCTCCCTCTTCTCACCCTCTTTCTCTCCCGCCTTCTCCCCCCAGGGATTCTATTTATCAGACTTTTTTGTCTGATTTTCTGAATCTGGAAACTGCAACTCCTATTATGAAGACACGTTGTGTATGAAGTTTTACATAACTGTTTAGTTTGTGCAAGAAGTACATGGTAAAGTGTTCCGATTTCTTGAAAATCTGTCTGAAGCCACAATTTCGGGTTTGCAAATCAGACGCTCAGACAAAAAAAGTCTGATAAATAGAACCCTGGCTCCCCCCCCTCCCCCTTCTCCCCCGCCTCCCCCTTCTTCCACCCCTCTCCCTCCACACCGCTTCTTGCGGCTGCTGGCCGAGAGGCCTTTGATGTCCTCTATGCCTCCTGCCCTCTCTATCCCCTTCCCCCTCCTCTACAGCAGCGTTTTCCCGTCGTCTCACCTTATCAACAAAGGACGACATGAGAGCTGAGATGGTGTGTCAGCAAAACAGTGTTTGCCCCTCTACGTGCGTCTGCTGCTGGGGTCATACTGCTGTCGCTGAGCACCCACAAGCGCACACATACCCACAAGCACCCACCCACACCAGCCGTGCTTCCCTGGCACTTGCTCGGGTTTCTCTCATCTTCTTCTTTTGCTTGATGCAGCTCGGTCGGTGCCACCACACACTCATACACTCATGCACTCATGCACTCATGCACTCATGCACTCATGCACTCATGCACTCATGCACTCATGCACTCATACACTCATACACTCATGCACTCATGCACTCATACACTCATACACTCATACACTCATGCACACTCACACCCACAAGCACCCGCCCGTACACACTCATTGCTGATTCTGGATGGCAGCTCGTGCTCCTCCTTTTCCCATTCCCTCCCCCTCCCCATACCCACTCCTCCCCCCTATGCCTGATTCATACCCCATCCTTTCCTGCTAACTATGTCATCTCTAGGCGTTGCATATACCCCCTGCCACCCACTCCCAGCCACACAGCACATGCCTCCTGTGCTTCTGTGGGTCCGCATGGGTGAATTTCATCTCATCAACCCCTCTCGATGCTGCCTCTGCCACTCCCTGTTGCCGCCCGTTCTCTCTGCAATTTCTTCCGCACCTCCTGCTTTTTGTTCTGTTCATAAAGTCTCCTCTGCCGTCTTCCCCGCAATGCGTCATTCCCAAATTGCAGCACACTTTTTGAAGGCACCTCACCCACTTCAGGCCCTCGTATCACCTGATCACATGCATGCCTGCCACATGCATGCCGCCCACATGTATGCCTGCCACATGCATGCCTGCCACATGCATGCCTGCCCCATGCATGCCTGCCACATGCATGCCTGCCACATGCATGCCTGCCTGCCACATGCATGCCTGCCTGCCATATGCATGCCTGCCACATGGATGCCAGCCACATGCATGCCTGCCACATGCATGTCTGCCACATGCATGCCGGCCACATGCATGCCGGCCACATGCATGCCTGCCACATGCATGCCGGCCACATGCATGCCTGCCACATACATGCCTGCCACATGCATGCCTGCGACATGCAAGCCTGCCACATGCATGCCTGCCTCATGCATGCGCCACCATTCATCCATTCATTCACATTGTTTCAATAAAGGCCGTGTCGCTGCAACCGCTCATTTCAATGCATCGCGCCGTTCATTGCCCATGCTACCATGCCTTGCCTTGCCTGTGCCCACAACCTCTCTGTGTCTGCTGCTGGTTCAGCGGTATGTCTCTCTTGTCACATACCGTATCTTCCTTGCTGATCCTTCTGGGCTGTTTGTTTCCTCTGCAGCTATGTGATTGAGGGCAGTGAGCGTGCCTTGGGCAGTGGGAGAGCGCCACCAGTGTGGATGGATCTGTGATACCACTTGCTGGTTCTTGGCGATAGATAGCAGGCACAGAAAGTGCTTAGTTTGCCTCGGCTCTCTAGTCTAGTGCTGTCATTTTTCAGGGTTTGCTGTAAATGCCGAGGTAGCACGGGCGCGGCTAGGGCTAGGGCGCGGCTAGCAGGGCTGACGTATCAAAAAAACCCACTCTGATTTTAGCCCCAAATTTTTTCCAAGTCTGAGTAGTCAGGTTTCAGATTTCATGGTAGTCTGATTTCTCAGGATCCAGTGACTCTCAAGTCTGATTTCTTCAGGGTTCGCAAGTATGAATCAGAGTCGTGATTTTACCATTTAGTCGCCATTATTTTATAACATTCGGGCAGTTAACCTACACCTAGTCTAATTTCCTAGCCTAGCTAGAACTCAGGCACATCCAGCGACAACATCCTCCGCCTCATCATCCAACAGAAAGGGGTTGTCTTCTATAGCTACTGCACCTCCACCATCCTCTCCCCCTCTCCTCCTCCTCCTCATTCCAATCCTCTCCTAAATAGTCTGGCACTGGAGGTTCCTGCTCTGCCTCTTCCAGCAGAGCCTTGCCTTTGCCCTTCCTCTCTTGTGATGCGAACACCACCGACTTCGCTGGTCTTCTCTTCTTTGCGTGCCACAGCTCCAGCGCCTCTTGCCAGTTGATGTTGTATCTCAGCAGCGAAATCATCATCAGCTCACCCAGGCGGGCATTGCACAGAGCACCACGGACCCAAGACTTGATCACGTTCTGCCTGGAAAAACCACGCTCGCACTCCACAGTTGAGAGTGGTAACACCGCGCATGCTTGCCAGAGAAGCATGAGGTTGGG